ACAGTAAAATAAACAATGCACCCTGCATCTGCATTCCTTAAGAACATACTCCTTCTCAGTGAGTTCTACTGAACTTTATAACAGTTACTGCAATCTCAAAGCACTGAAGGATAAGAGAGTGTCACACATCTCCCCACACGTGATGAGAGCAGACGTTTGCTGTGTTCAGACAGACTTCCAAGGCTGGTTAGAAGAGATCCTGTTGTACACAATATGTTCCAGGCTCCTGTACTCTGCAGGACATCAGAAAATTATCAGTGGACATTGTGAAGCACCTCCCAGAAAGACACAGAACTGGAAAAGAACCATCCGTTAAAGTGATGCGTAGGGCAGGACTACAAAATGCCATCTGGCAATAGGGTAAGGAAAGGCATCATCATTGGCGGCTTCCACCTCCACAGAGAAACAAACAGCTGTTTGTGCAGTAAAGTGGTTTGAATACTCAGGAAGGTCCCCAACTAGCAGAAAAAAAAACCAACACCAATAACACAAAAACCAAAACAAAAAAAAACACCGGAAAAAAAACACCACCCTATATGATGAGTTGGAAAAAAGACAATAAATCAGAATTAATAATGAAAATAAAGATGCTGAAAACATAAGTAAACATCTCCCTGGTGCAGGGAAGAAAGAAGCATCCTGAACACCTGATTTGACAATATGAGAAAGTTAATTAAAAGAACACAACACTGATTCTTATCAGCATCTGTTCAGCAAAGGTGCTGCCACTGATGTGTTGAGGGACAGATACATCACCTGAACACTGGGACTTACGCTGCTGCCTGGTGAGGAGATGCTGAATACAACAGACAGGGAAATGGTACTGTATTGACAAGGGCACCGCTTGTTTACAAGCTGCTGACAACTCTGAGGCAAACCATCCTGGCAGCTGTGGATCAGTGACCTCATACTCAGAGCACAGTGGGACAGGGCACACCGGCCATTAACCTGCAGCAGGGAACAGCACGTCCAGGCCCTCAGCACCCAGCCAAAAATGCCTGGAGTTTCCTCCCCCTTCATGATCCCAGACTGTTAGCATTCGTGACTTACATTCATTAAACAGATGCTGAAACAATCATTCTATCAACTTGGTGACAGCCTGACGATTTCTAAAAACTAAAGAAATCAAATTCATAATATAGAAACACTACATTTAGCACAGGGAAATCCTATGCGACAGAGAAAGGGAAACTGATCACTGAAATAAAGGTTACGCACGGCCTAGCTGCAAGCGGTTATGCCCTGATTGCATTTACTATGTGCAAACAGGACAAAAACCAGTTTATACTGATCTAGGGCTTCAGAAGTTACAGTTGCATAAGAATGGAAAAATTCTTAAACTTGGGGAAAGATTTGACTTAACATGGTCACGTATCTTTGAAGTAAGACTTTTCTAAACCCAAAAGTCACATCCAACCAAAATGCTGTCAGTGTTTGCAACAACTTGATGAAAACTTGAAGCAAATTTCAATCCTCTCCCTCAGGCTATAAGGAAATGAGCGAGGGAAATGTGGGAAAGCTGAAGGATAGCAAGGAGCCCAAAGTGAAACGCTACAGGCTGCTGAGGCAGGGAAACAAGGAAAGTGTTTTGGGTACCTCAGGAACAAAAGGAACCCCAACACAGCCCAAAGCTGTCACTGCTGAAATTCTTCAGTGAGGGGAAACTTGCAGAAGGCAGAACAGCTCAACAAGCAGCTCCAGCACTCTCCAGTGATATGCTGGCATGCAGGAACAGAATAGGCTGTTCTGATAACAGCCACCAGAGCTCAACGACACCAGTTACAGCCAGACACCAAAACATCAGAGAGGTGACAGAGAGGAGAAGACCTGGGAGCACCCTAAGAAGGCTATGAGCAGGGAAGCACCACACACAGAGAAGCTCTATCTCAACAATACGCATCTGGAACAGTCCCTCCATGCAGGGATGTTGCCATAAGGCAACAGCAAAGGGCTTCTCAGCCAAGCAAAGTTACACAAACCCCTTGCCTGAAGTCAGCAGTAAATCACCTCGCTTACAGCAAGCGGCACCCGTTGCACTCTGGCCTGGGGAACTCTTTCATAGCAGGGCTGAGGTACAGCCTCGCTGGCAGGAGGTCAAGGCAGGAACAATTGGGTTCTGTGCATGGTGTGTGCTCGGTCACAGCTCTGCACTGAGGGCAGCCCTACAGTCTGCAGCACACAGCCAGCACCCAGCAGCGGAGATGGGCTTCTGTCAGCACCCACAGGTGATGGTGTATGAGAGCCTTCTGTGCACACACACAAAAGAGCTGCTGGTAAAAGCCAACCAAGCAGTTCTCAGAATCCCGCTCTCATTTCTACCTTTAATGGGCTCTTTGTGTCCACCTAACAACTTTCACAACAAGCTCCGCTTATTTATGTAACGTTTGCAAGCACTAGGACATCCCCACCGCGCTCTCCATTGTAAAACAGAAGGCATAGATCGCAGCTCGGAGAGCAACACCTCAGCCTGAGTTACTGCCCGCGGCACCGGGACACAAAGCAAACTCCTCCACGGTTGAAGCCCGAGCGGCTCAGAAGTGAAGCACGGGCACCTGCCAGAGCGCTGCCCGCCTCCGTGCGCGGCTATGGGAGCGGGTGCCGAGCTCCAGCCCCGTGCATCCTGCTGAGCGCAGAGCCGGGCATCGGGGCGTGCCGCGGGCATCCTCAGGAGCCAACGAGGCATTGCCCCGAGCTCGGCGATTCGGACGACAGCGGCCCGAAGCACCTGGAGGAAGCCCACCAGCCCTCGGCAGAAGCCGGCCCGCCGATTCAGGCAGTGAAATGAAAGTTCTCCGCTCCCCTTTCCAGCTGACAACTCCGCTGAATCCTCCTCCATCCCACGGCGAGCGACAGCGCGCGCAGGCTGCCGACTTCGCAGAGGCAGGGGAAAAGCTGCCGGCAGGAGCTGCGCCCCGCAGCCCACCGCGGGCTCCTCGCCGCTCCCCGCACATACAAACGCCCGCTCCACGCCCGCACGCTCCGCCGCCAGACAAAGGGGAGGCGGCGGGCGGGGCCGGAACACCGCGCCCACCCCGCGGGAGGCAGCGGCCCGCCGGGCCCGACTCCCCCTGCCCGCCCGCCCCCGCGGGGCTGGAGCCGCCCTTTCTCCGGGGAGGCGCCCGCCCTGCCCCGCCGGACAGCGCCGTGCCAGTCGCCAGGAGGAGCGGGCACGCCCCCGGGTGACCTCCCGCCGCCCCGAACCCCCTCCCCGCCGCAGGGACCGCCGGCCGTACCTGCCCGCCGCCGCCGCCGCGCCGCCTCAGCCCGCGCCGCCCGCCCGCCTCCTCCGCTCACGGCCGCGCCGCCATCTTGCGTCTCACAAACTACTGCACTTCTTTTGGGGCGGGGGGGCGGCGGCCGAGCCGGGAACTCCCAACGCCGCCCGGGCCCTCGCCTCGCCGCCGCCCGCGGCGCGCACTCGCATCCTCCCGGCGCCTCGCTGCCCCGGGGCGGCCGCGCGGGGAGGACGGGCAGCGGCGGCCGTGCCTCTGCCTCCCTCGCAGGGAGCGGGGGCGGAGCCGCTCGCCGCCCCGCCGCCGCCCCGCCCGTCGGCGGCGGACACCCGGCAGAGGCCGGTCCGGGCCCGCGGCGGTGCCCGCTAAGTTAGCGCCCGCCTGTCAGCTTCTTCCACCCGCGGCTTTCCGCACGTGCCCGGCCCTGAGCGACGGCGGCGCGGCGCGGTCCCGAGCCGCCGTGCCGCGGGCGGGGGAAGAGACGACCCGCACAGCCCCGTGCTCTGGCTAGAGGTGGAACTTGGACATCTTTCTCCAGCCGTCTCGGACACGTCGCTGTTAGCTGCCACCGAGATACTTTGCGACGCACCGTGCTTACATAGTATGTAGGCTGCTCCGAAAGTCATGCCGCCCGCTGCTTTCCTTGGAAACGACAACAAACACAAAGAGCACAGTAACACCGGAGGACAGAGCAAATTCTCAGCTAAGAAATGCTATTTTTCAACAGCCACACCATCAGCTGTATTTTTGCCAGCAGTGAACGGCTGCACGCTGCGCTCACAGAGATGTGCACTACTGGAGCTCACCTGCTGTTTCTCAGCGTTTCGCCAGCCACCACCTCCCTGTGCTCACATCCCATTTTGGTGTCCGTAAGCATTCAGCAAGAATCCATGAATGTCAGTGCCATTTCTTCCACATGCGGGAATTCAATTCCACACCTTTACTTCATACAGACTTCCGTATCAGACACCATTCTATCGGATTGCCCCTCTGCTGCCATCTGCCACACGACAAAATGTAACACGGCAGTGGTGGGCAGGTTCAGCTGCTGTACCACCTCTGACCGTGTTGGCCAACGTTATAAAATAGGAGGCATGACTTTCGGAGCAGCCTTTCCATTTCCTCCATCACTATTTGCAGTTTTGGCTCAGACCCTACGTGTGATTGATTCCCAAAGGAGAAAAAGCAGAAAGTGGCTCGTGGGAACCGCTTACAGTAACAGGGAACAACTCATGGCACAGTGAGGCTTCTAAGTTTCTAAAACTGTAGAAGTGTGCTTTGTTATTGAGATGAACAACAGGAGATGTTTGCGCATAGCCTGAAGATCAAGTTTGTGTGAGAGGAATGCTCCTGGTTCTTCCTTTCCAGTCACTCCTTGTAAGGATGAGATCTTTGAGCTGCCATGCAGAGAGCTGACTGCATATGATTGTATGGTGATAAGGGATGAGGAGAACCTGGGAAGCACAAGAGTGCGTTGTATGCAGCTCAGAAACTTACAGAAAAGACTGGGGATTTCTCCACTCCATCTCCATTACAAAGACATTTCCAACAAAGTCACTCAGAGAATGAGCTCAGCAAACCCCATGCACACCCCAAACAAATCTGTGATATTCACCAAGTTACAGAACAAGTAATATACATTAATGTGTGAATTCTGAATGTACGCTTTTCTTCCTCCTGCCTTCGCTACTGCCGCATAAGCAATATACCATAAACAAGGTAAGCTACTCCCATAAAGCACTTCTTTTAAAGTCTTCAGACTCATACTGTTTTTAAGATTTTTAATGAATCGAAAGAAACAAATGGACATTCATTTCTCATTAATACTCATCCAAACAATACAGAGGAAAAAAAACCCACATAGTTTAGAAATGTTGGCACACACTAGAAAGAAACAACACACATAAGAAAGCACACTCGGGGATTGCACAGTTAGGTATTTGGTGACATACCAGCAACAGATACTGCTACATATTTCATCACGATACAATTGTTTTTTGAAAACAAAACCTTCCCCCATCTTACGTTAATTTAAACAGTTGTCACATTAATTTTCTCCACTGGTTTGAAGAGGAATTGACCTCTAAAACAGAGTCTTGCTCTGATATTTCTTACATATATTTTTGGTGAAATACAGTTGATTTTCAAGAAATAGACAAATAGATTCTCTCTTCGTCACTAAGAAAATTATTTACAAATTTAATTCAACTAATAATTTACATTAAATTAATAAATATTAAAAATACTATTTTCCAGTATAAAGATTGTCACTGTTAGAAGCAAGACCAAGCATCATGTTAGGAAGTTTCAATACCAAGCCTGGCTTTGCCTCTCAAGCTGGGATTTTAATTGTTGAAAATATGCCATAGCAAAAAATCTTTGTGGAAACGTTTTCTCCCAGACTGTCTTTCTGTTGTTAATTCCAGGAAAGCCACCTGAGATGCTATCAGGCAATTTAAAAAAACAAAACCAAAGAAGTCTCTGAACTGCACTGAGAGTTTTCTAAAGGCATTAGATTTCACATGTCAGAATCAGACTCGTTTTAAAACCCTCACATACTGTGCTGTACAATATACATCACCAGGGATTTCTGCAGAAAAAAATATGTGTCTGAGAAAGGATGATATAGGCTTATCCATTTCTCCATCCTTTTCTTTTAAGAAGAGGCACTGGAAGCATCTGGAAGACATTCACATCTACGTTGTGACAAAGGCACTGACTGCAGTACTTCACAAAGCACACAACACGAGGTTAAGGTGCTGTGCATTGCAGAGGACGGCTGAACGCACTGATCTCAGAAGACCGTACTCCTTCTGTCTGAGTTCGCTATTCATCACAAAATATCAACAAATACAGGGAAAGAATACAAAATAAACACACTTAAAAAGAGTTTCTGAACATTAAAAATATACATTAAGATATATTTGTTCTATCTACATAAAGTACTGAATTACACGCAACAATAACAGAAGAACATCCAACGAAAACAACTTTGCAGAACAGAAATCAAGGATGTCACAGATCACATTCGTGCTAAGGCTTTAAATTCTTTCTTCATTACCTAATAAGAAAAAAAACAACAAAAATATCAGTAAGCAGAAATAAAACTGATCAACGTTTTCTACTTTTCCACAAAATGAATAAAGAATTCATAATGACACCCAATTGTTAGTCACAGCTAATAAACAGTGTGCTGCCTCTCTCACAATGCCTTGTTATCCCCTTTAGCTTCAGATACATCCTCATGCATCCAAACTGGAGATTACCACGTAGAGACTCTATGGATCTATACCATAGAATAACAAAATGGCCAGGGTTAGAAGGGACCTCAAGGAACATGAATCTCCAACCCCCTTGCACAGGCAGGGCCACCAACCTCCCCATTTAATACTAGACCAGGCTGCCCAGGGCCCCATCCAATCTGGCCTTGAACACCTCCAGGGACGGGGCATCCACAGCCTCTCTGGGCAGCCTGTTCCAGCACCTCACCGCTCTTTTGGTAAAGGACTCACCTCTGACATCCAACCTCAATCTTTCCCCCCCTCAACTTCAAACCATTTCCCCTTGACCTGCTATTATCTACCCTTTCAAAGAGTTGACCCCTCTCCACCCCCATTTGTAGGCTCCCTTTAGGTACAGAAAGGCTGCAATGAGGTCATCCTACAGCTTTCTCTTCTCCAGGCTGAAATACATCAACAAGTAAAAGGTAGAAAATAAAAGAAAATGGCTTGCTTGAAGTATTACAAGTTAAGTAACAAAGGCTCTCAAGCCCTGAAATAAAATAAATCCCTTAAATAAATCCCTTCTCAAGCTAAAACATATTGTTATCCTAGCTGAGAGAAGGGTGCAGCTTTTCCAAGGGTGGCTTCCCTTAATTCAAACACTGTTGACTCTCCCAGTCAGAACAGAGCATCTGTTATAACTCTTTATCAGATGTGGAAGAAGAGATAGAGATGATTGGTGCCTAAACAAAGAGGCTTCCTCTTTCCAAGGCAGACTGAGAGGCATAAAGAATTTTATCTGTTCTCAGGCACAAGCGACTCAAAGACAAATGGGTTCAAGGATCCTAAGTCTAAAGACTGAATAACCATCACATCCAAATTGATGCAATACTGGGAATGCCTGACTTGGACCACGGTGCCTCAGGAAGATTTCTGTTGAGTTCTGACAACTCCAAAATCCTCTCTTACAGGAAGAGATCAGAGAGCTGGACCCGTTAGTGTACAACTGGCACAGGCAGAAATCTCCCTTTACGTCCAATTACAGATGCTCAAGCACACTGGTTAAAAATTGAGACTTTTCTCTAGTCTCACTAGAATCTCTCCTGTTAATGTTTCATACTTTAATTGCTCTTAAGGGTGGAACGTCTACCAAGTATCACCGTGTCTTCCTGCCTGCAGGGGTGAAAGAGGAAGCAGAACACTGAGAAAAGCACCCCTTCACAGCCCCCCACCCTTAAGTCAGTTCTCAAGAAAAACTACTGACAGATTAATGCTAACTGCTTGGAAAGGGCCGTGTGGGTGACTCATTGTCTTCAAGTTCAAGCTTTTTCCTGCTGAAACCACCAATCATGCCAAATCTAACAATGGTTTTGCAATATGGAGAAGTGCCTCCCAGACTGAAATGACAAAGTCTTACTTTGGTTTTTGTCTTTGCACAGACAACAAAACAGTGAAGAGTAATGCTAAAGCAGCACGATCTCCAGAATGCACATACACTGCATACCAGTGATAGAACATGCTATAAGACAAAAATTACCTTCAGTAATTCGGTTTTGTCATAATCGTCTCGGTGTTGATAAATACACTGACAAATTTTAGCATATAATTTTTCAAAATAGAATATATCAGCCTCCTTTGTTAGATCAGTGACCATATCCAGCAGTTGCTGAGGAAAAAAAAATGGGAAAAATACAAGTTTAGAATAGCAAAAGATCCTTGGCTCTTCTGTTTTTGGAAGCTTAGCAGTAACATTAATAAGTAACAGTACTAGCAGGTTGTCAGTGGGCTGCTTTAAGGTAAAAGGGCTGGTTGAATTTTAACACTGAGGTGGAGAAACTGCCTCCTAAGACAATGCTTACCAGAAGTAAAAACAGCAACCTACAGAAACCTACAGCAGCTGTAGGTGTGGAAACACATCAATCACAGCCCATGGTAGGTTGATTTGTGCTATATATCCCTGCCGTTAACTGTGTAAATTGGCACTGGTTAACAACTGCCTCAATTGATAACTGTACATAAAGCAAAAATATGTCCTATTTCACAATTTAAACAAAGTTGAACTTAGACGTACTTTGAGCTCACAGTAATCCACCATCACTACAATAGGTGACTCTGTCATAATGTCCATCACTTTTTCAGCACTCGTGTGCCTCTGTTCGGTCTGAGAACATCTTGCACGAGTCACGGGAATTACACAAGGATCTGGAATGACACAAATTTCCTCTGTCACATTTTCTGTTGATCTGGAATACAACGTCCATGAAGCATCCTGTACTGGGATGCAATCTCCCTCTACAAATACAGACACAGCACTGTTACAACTCCTTCACTGAGCAACGCTTGGCTTCTATCTTCTTTCCAGCTAAAGTCAGTCCTCTGCCAAAATGAGAAATTCAGAGCAAAAAGAGCACTAGAGAGTACAGAAGGATAAAAGAGGGAAAAGAAACAGTAATGTTGCCATTACAACACCTCATGCTACTCCAAAAAGAATTCAAGTTAGGAAATATCTTACATCGCAAACATTAGGATGCAAGTCTTCTACCCCACATGCTACTCTGGATCCACACAGCCTCAAGTGCATTTTTTTAATCTGACACTGCTCATTACTGGAAAGTTCCTCGTACAACAAAAGAATGTCAACAAATGCTGTTTTTCAGTTAGGTAACATTAGAAAGACAGATCTTAGGAAAAAAAGAGCAGCTACAGAAAAACTTGAGCTTGGCTTACATCATTACATGGGCAACATTGCTATTGAAGAAACTGCTGATTCTCTGGAGATGTAACACAAATAATAGAATGAATTCAAAGGCTAATAATAAATAATACAATCCTCCTTAGATGGAATGTGGAACTAAATGTTCTGTTGGACATTTCACTTACCATTTGCCTCTTGCTTTTCAGAGGAGTCTGGTTTTTGGCAAACACCACTTTCCCTTCTCAGGTCTGAGTGTCCAGGCAGCCCGACACTCTCCTTTTCACCAGCAGATGTATCCATATCAAAAAGCCCCCCCCCTCTCTCCTTTTCTGATCCAGCTTTATTTTCATTGCTGTTTGTCTGCCGTTCCTGAAGAACAGTTTCACTTTCTTCCCAAGTAGAAGCCTGTGAGCGTTCAAATTCAGTCTGATCCATGTTAGAAATATAGCTTGCCAGAAAATCTTCTCCGTCCCTCTCATTTGGGTCATCTTTGGGAATTGTATTCTCTTTATTGAATTGAAAAGACCTTCTTCTCTTTGCAATGGAAAAAGAGGAATCGGTTTTTTTGTGTTTTCTTTTTGACACCTCTACAAAGAAACAGTAGAAAAAGCAAACCAAAAGATTACGAAAATAACTCTTTCAAAATCCATCATCTTCATTTTACTTGACTTACAAGGAAACCAACCAAAGGAATTGAAGCACACACTCCCTACGTTCAGAAAAAAGTTCAATCTTTAATAGTGAACCAACCCCATTAAAAGTCAACTGCTTCATTTCATTCGCAAAATCATCATCTTCAAGATGTTACAGGCAGACAACTCTTCCCTTCAATAGGAATTATTTCTAAAAAGCAAGGTAAGACACTTCATCTTACGACATGAACAACACAGACAAACAGCCACACAGCCTTTAAAGTTGCTATCACACTCCAGTCTTTGAAAGCTAAATACATATTAAGAAGAGTTTAATTAAAGAGACAACTTGAAGGCAACATTCAAAGGAGAAAAAAAACAGCCTGTAAAGACTGACACGCCATATGCTTTCTGGTTCTGTTAACCTTGTTACAAACAAACTTTGTGGTTTTGCCCAACAGAAAAGCCCACCGTGCTTCGTATTTACGTAAGATTGCACAAAATGTGAGTGAACTCGGTGGCAAGATTCCCACTCACTCCTGAGATCAGGAATCTTTACAACATGTCATGTGTTCCGATGGAAAGAAGCCAAAGTCTCTTCATGCCCTACTCAAAGGAGCAGGAAGAAATAATGACTGTTCCCTTTCCATCTCTATTTTTATAGCTCCTCACTTTTTCTTCACTTTCACCCTTCAGTTGGAAATAACAGTAAAGGGGTAGCAAGTATTTTAGCATTCTGGGGACAGAAGGGAGGAGAGAAGGAAGATGCTCTTTTGCATCATTGAAAACTAGCTGAGTATTCAGAAACCATGATACCAAGAATTAGCAATTTGGGAGCCACTCAACGTCAGTTCAGTCATCAAGACCAGTGTTTTGTACCGGTAGGCCAACTTTTTATTTGAACTTTAATTCATAACCGTACTGATGGATGACCTCTGGATTTATCTCACTTTTTGAAGTAAATTCAAAAACATAAAACCACTGGCGTGACAGGTTTCTCTGATGCCTGACTCTTTATGTCACAATAACACAGGAGATAGTATCAGTGACATTGGCAAGTTCACCCAGAAAGTCTGAATAAATTGCAACTTGCCCTTGGAGACAGGTGTACTGGCATCTACAGGTGTCACTGTCATCTTTGTTTTGTCACTGCACTCGGCATCTGTTTTCTTACATCCAGGAGCAGAGTTTTCCTTTGCCATCACTGTGTAGAAATCTGGAGCATATTCTGAAGAGCTGCAACCTTGCGATAAAGCACAGAAAGCAAAGAAGTCTGTCTTGCATTTTCAGTTACAAATACAGAGACGAGTCTTAAAATCCTGACCCTTCAAACACATACCTCTTTTCTTACGAGATTCTTTAATTTCTTCACAACGCTGTTCTAAATCTTCATCTATCTCTTCCTTCACAATGGAATATGCAGTGTCTTTCAAACTACAAGCTCTGTGCCTAATGAGACGATCTGAAATTTTACAGGCAGAACTTAGGCAGTGAAACTCTTGATCACAGAGAAAAAAGTTGCTCTGCATTGGTAGTTTCTGAAAAAGGATATCTCAGGGAATACTTTTATTTACATTAACACTTACATTCCACATCCAAGCAGTTAAGTGCCACAAAATCTACAATCTGACAAGCAATGCTGTCCATGGATGTTAAAAAGGATCTGATGCAGTCTATCGCCTACGCACACCATTGATCCGTCTATGCATTGTACAAGGATCAAAAGTGCTAACTCACCTGCAGGGTCTTTATCCGGGTTATATTCTAAGGCATTACTACAGATGAGATCAATATCTTCCAGGAAATCTCCTGCAGTTAGGTACTGGTGCAAATCAATCTTAGATAAAACCGTTGAAAGATCCATTGGATGCTTAATAACTGTGTCATAGTCAGGCACCTACAGATGGAACAGAAACGTTCAGAGGGTTTATTGGACTCGCACATCATCTACCAAAATTCTTCATTTTAAAAACTTCAACTAAATGACTTCTTAAAAGCCCTGAACATTTGTGACATCAGGAGATACTGAAATTAACTAGCAAACTGTTGGGAAATGGAAGGGCTCTTTATAACTTGTTGGAAATGGAATAAAGAAAAAGAAACAGGGAGGTCAGAAGCACACAGAGAGTACAAAACAGATTCGTTTTACTTTGTCTCAGAAAAATCACAACAGAGAAATCTGGGGAAGTCACCCAGCATTCTCTTTGTTGTTGGCAGTGAGAAAAAGGCTGCATGAATTGCACCTGAATGAATGTCAATGCTGGCATCTACTTCAGAATGAGATGACTGGACTCAGAGGTGCAGACTGTTTTACTCAGACTGTAAGAGGAGCCTAATGACTAGTTGAGATGAGGACATATATATTTGTTTAGATTATTCACACCTCAGGAACGGAGGGGAAAAGTCAGCAGATCCCTAAGGGAACAGGACTTTGCTGGTACGCAGCTCTATGAAAACTACAGGTGACTTGTAATGATACACCCCTGATTTAGACTTATGCAGTCACTACAGGAGATAAGGGGACCTAAGAAGTACATGGGAGAAAGAAGAAACCACACAACACTTACGGATGATCTCATACTGAGTATTCCCAGATGAAACAGAGAACAGAATCTCAAAACTATTTTACAAACTGCTGCTTCTACTCCTGTTCCCACAGAAACAATGGGCAGTCCACAAAAGTGCTCTAGGCCTTATTAAAATACTCCCATAAACGACATTTGTCATTATAAAGAAAGATGCCTCTATGTTTTCCAGTGCTATGGTGTGTCTTATCAAAAATCTTTTGAAAAGCAAACTGTGTTGGCTTTTGATCTGATGTTTTAGAACAGAAATAAAGCTTTGACTGAATATTCAAACAACAGACAGCTGAGAGCCTAAAGAAATCAGCAAAAGTAAAAGCTCTTCCTGCTTCTTGCAATATCACTAAGAGTACAGTCCTTAAAACAAGGAGAAACCTTCCTATACAGAGCTCACAAACACTGAGAAATTACACGCACACATAGATGAAATGGCATTATAGATCAACATCACTTTACCTCCTCTGGGTCAACAGGCTTTGTGAAGGCCTTGAAACGTCTGTCGACAGCAAGTCTGTGAGTAACATCCCTCAAGAAAATTCGAAGTTCACGCAAGGTATTTTTCTCCTGCTCCTCCAGACACTTCATTTCTTCCTCTGTCAGAGGTCGAGGTTCAGGTGGTGGTGCTACAGGCAATACTTCCAATGTCTGCCCAGCTTCAATTAATCAGAAAATTTTAGCCAATGTCAGGTACTCAAATACAAGCACATGCAATAAGTACTGATAGAAAACTGCCACCCAAGCAAATACTGAACACCTAGTAACTTGCAGTTAGGAAAGTTTCAGATGTTGAATATCCTCACCTGCTTTCCTTCTTGAAGCGGGAGGTTGAGCAGCTTGAGTCAAGATCAAGTCCTCAAAAAAATGTTTTCTTTCATCCTCACTGGGAGATTGGATATTGAAAACTTCTCCAAAATCACTGCTAAACAATGTTTGTACCTAAAGCACAAAGAGAAAACTGTAGGATAAACTGGTAACGTTGTGACATTCACAACATCTAAGACCACTCACTTTGTACTGACTTCCCTTGCTGCCCTTTAATTTTAACCTGCATAGTAGCTAGAGAAGGAAGAGAAAGGATTCAGTTCAGTAAACCAGAGAGAGCTTTCTAATAAGTTTTTATTTCTGTATTTAAATAAGGTCTCAATTTGCACGTTTCTAAGGTGCAGTCTATTTTTCTATCTTTACTATCAAGAGGTAGGGAAAGAATTTCAATATTATCTTAGAAGGAATTGATTTACCAGTATAAAAACTTCTGTGGAAACTTAAGCACTCCCAAAGCATTTCATAACAAACACATCTAGGCAATACCGTCTTCCCCTTGAAGCACTGAGACAAAGCAATCAGAGTGAAAACAGCACATTTCCATTCTGAACACTTTAATGCAGACTCTTAGAAGTCTGCAAAGGATTCATCATTAAGCACATGTACGCTTATTGAAGTTCAGTTAGAAATACAATAAAAGTTGGATTTCAAAGTTACTTAGAAAGAAGTTGGAACTCAGCTTCCGATTTGAATCTTTAGCCTTTACAAAGAAAGGGATGGATTTTTTTTCCTAGAAGTGTTGCAATCTTAACTTATTCTAAATTACATTTAATTACTAGCATTTCATCCACCCTACTATGCAATGGCAGTACATCACAAGAAATGTTCTCACTAAAAATATATTTTTGCTACCTCCATTGTAAGGACTGCACAGTCTGGACAAAGTAGATACCCAACTGCCTTGCAGTCATTCAAATTATTGTCTGAAGTAAATTTACCTTACCTGCTTGTGAGAAGGAGGGGAAATATTGGGTCAAAGTTGGTCATTTGACTCATAAAACACTTGAGGCAAATGCTTTCACCATTTTTATTCTAAGCAAATTTGAAGGGATTTGTTAGGGAGCCTAAATCATGACAGTATGCATTTTCAGAAAGCACAGTACTCCAATGCCTCAAGTGTTCCTCAAACAACAAGAAACTGAATGAAGAGTTAAGAGAAGCATTGACAGAAATACCTCATCCGGGAGAGCTGTGTGACAGACATCTGATGTTGCAAGCAGCAAGACTGGAGCAAATGTTGGAATGTTCCGAATTAGTGATAGAAAGGTAGCTTTCAGCGTAGCTCCAACACTGTCCCACCACAAATGGATGTGTGGGATATAAATTATGCTTGGTGCTGTCCTCTGAGCTTCTCGGATCAACTAGCAAAACAAAAGGTTGGATGAGACAACTCAACCATGTAGAATAGGCTGCTAATCCATAAGTCTACGTATCCATCAAACTATCCTAGGAAACACATGTACACAAAGCCAAACCATCAAAACAAACTAACTAAAGAACCACTAAGAGGGCAAAATTGCTACTTTTGCTCCAATATACATCACTGCTACACAGACAGAATCAGACCTGAATCTGCCTTTATTCAAAACTTCTTAGGTATGAGAGAACTCCAAAAGAGCCTTGCAACTCAAGCAGTGTGGTGGCGTGCCAGAAGAACCAAGCCTAACCCCTCAGCAAGCTGTTTTAGTCTAGCTCAATTCCTACATGATTGTGGCTGCACCACTTCCAATTCAGAGCAGACACGTATCCAAGTCAGTCTGCAGCACAGTCTGAAGAAACAAAGGCTTAGGTGAAAAGATGAGGGCTGCACTGCAAAAGAATCCTAGTTTTAATTCATATTTTCTGGTACATTTTTGTGAGGTCTTCAGCCTGAACAAATGGTTCTGTAACTCAGTTTCTCCTTAGCAAAGGATTCATCAGATCAGACAACAAGCTCAGGAAGTCCAACAAGCCACTGCCCACATATGGCACAGCACACAAGAGGACATGCATCTACCACATGGCAAGCATCCTTACACGACACATTTCTCTGTGCGCTCTTTCATGCTATCAGCATTCAGGTTGCACCAGCTGCAAGATGGGAAGCGTATATCCAGGCAGTGACTTGACACCATGGTTCTATGGCCACAGACACAGCCATCACACAACAAAAAAGGAAACGTGTGACAAAGGATAACCAGTCACATATCATGCCTGTCCTTACTTGTACTGCCCTCAAATGCTTCTAATAAAGAAGAAAAGTGACTCCCAACAACAGATTTTTTGCCTGAAAGCAAATTGGCTCTAGGATCTGTTTGTTTCTTCTAGTTAAGAAAAACCTCTCCACTGTACAAATGTAGGTGTTGTGATTTTTAAGGCACTTATTGCATGTACTGCAGCAGCACAAAACATATAAGATGGACGTGTAACAAACATAGAAAACTATCAACAAAAAACCCAGACACTTCCCTGAAACATTGGTTGCCTTACAAATATAACAACAACAACAAAGGATACAGAACTGCAGAATATGCAGTCTGATGCAGAGCCATCTACTGGGAGCACAGTCTTAGAAGGTAATGAAAATTACTTTCTGAATCCTATTGAGACGAGCAGGATTTCCTGCCACAGAGAGAGGATTATTAGCAGCATCTTTCAGATTCCTGAATTGCATTCTTGCTGTTAAATTTGCAGTGAAAACTATGGCCATGTACAACATTCCTACTGTGTAGGACTAGATTAAAAGAAAAAAAAGGTGATTTTTCAGACATGAACAGAACAATAATGCCACTGCCACTAGCAATGAATTTTGCTCATCTTGCAACTCAATTGACTGTTTACATTAATTAATGAGATTGTGAGATTAAAGAGTAAAAAAAAAAAGATACCTGTGCACATGTCTCTTCAGGTGATGACGTGTTAACAAATAAAACTGACATGTCCAGAGTATGAACTGGAAACATTTCCAGAGCATGCAAAACAGCAGGTGCCAAGTGGGATGCCTGGCCACATCCTGCCTTTCCTGCTAACAGCAGATGTGGCCTGCAGGATGTAGGCTGCCAGTAAGCTTTCCTAGAAAAAGAACAGTAAAAAAAAAAAAAAAGGAAAAAAGAAATAGACACAAAGATGTTCAAAGTATTTCTTTTCTATATATGCATATATTTACAGTACTCTTCATATTCCAGCAAGTCAAGTTCTGTGACCAGGAAGTCTATCAAAACCCATGTTCTTACAACCTGCTTACTGCCCCCTAAAAAATCCTACTAATCCCTGTCATATCTGCCACTCATCTTGCTCTTCTAATTAATGGCTCCTAAATTTGTGCATGGAGGTTGTCCAGCTAAATACACACCTGACAACTGGCTAGTTACCTGAGATGAAGTAGCACAACTTCCAGCACACACCAATCTGGATGTCACTGTCAGCCAGACACTAACCTTCAGTAGGGCTCTCATTCAAGTTATTGAGTTTTGACTACCTCTGTCAAATTTAGCTCGCCATAATTGGCCATAATTACTGGAAAAGGTAGGAAGAAAGGAGCAGAGCAATGCTGTTAGAAAAGAATGGGTGTGGGCACTGAAATACATTGGCCATATCTAATGGAGCACAGAGTTGGACTCCTTGAGTTACAGCAGTATATTACATACAAATAAAATATTTCTTTATAGGGCAGAAAATTTTCTGAACAGCGCAGCAATAGGATTGAGAAAAAAAAAGTTTGATTTGGCTGCAATAACATCATCTAACATCTGAGCTGTGGGCTTGACTTCCACATGAGAACATTAACAGAAGTTAGTGGATGAATGGTAGCAAAAACAGTTTTGAGTTCCTGCTACGTAATTTGCTACTGGTTTAACAGTCCTGGAAAACAGATGGGCAAGAGGGCTGCACAAATCCACACAGGCTTTTAAAGCTGAGATGATAGATAGAGTTCCATGGTTTTGAGTATTCTAAATCAACATGCTCTAATAGCCTGAGGATCACTTGGCTTAGGTAAAGAAAGCTGATTTTTTCAGTTTTGAACTTGATCAGTTCTAGCAATGCATTTTATTAGAAGTTCAGTACCTTCATGCTTACTTCTTGCAAATAACTATCACCCCCTCAACACACACATTTGATTCTACTTCAACATCTACCACCCCCCATATTTGTAACAGCCAAAACTGCTGAAAAAGTAGAATTTAAATGCAATTGGAACAGACATTTACCTACTAAAATCAAGGAATTTTCCCTGTGGTCTGCGAATCGTTGTATCTGTTACATTCTCTTCAAAGATTGAGGGGGATTCATAATTTCTGTCAAATGCATCACCTTTTAAGAAAGAATTTAAATTGCCTGAAAGACAAAAGAGGCTTGTTATTTTTTCCTAAACGCTCTGTACCTCTTTCTCTTGCTCTTCAGCTTCAAAATCAATGTCAAAACCCCTTCTTCATTTCAGGTCACATGCTGACTGTTATTTCCTAGAGATCATCCTGCTACTGATCTACGGAGGCTGCACATCTCTGCAGTGCTGCTCCTTTAAGTTTCACAACATGTATAAAGTATGTTTCTCAGTTGTTCATTCTTTTCCCCATAGAATAAATATAATTAGGAACAATTTGTGTAGTTCTGAAATAGCTAAAAAATCCAAGAAGGCTATTACTTCCTGGAGCAGGTTCTCACAGTGGAAACATGGAGATTAAGGATGTGGTGGCCACAGACCCCCTGGTCTAGGACCAATAAATCATGACAGTGACAAACCCATCTTCTATCTAATTAAGGATCCTTAAAGATAACTGAAGGAGAAAATAATGGAAGGCAGGCAACAGAACGGCAGGGCAATTACCAATCCCCTACCCTTTCTGCTTCTGTTTTACCAAAGCAAATGAAACTACCAGCTCTGCTGAGAGTAACACTAGTAGAATATTCTCCAGAAATCAGCATGTCACTCTAAAGGGATCTCCATTAACCAGGACTGGAACGAGCCTTACGCTTCAATACTTATCTCTGTCTCTACAAATGCTAAATATGTTAGCAACTGTTGGAAACAGGATGCTTTAGCAGAGAATGTGTACTGCTCTCCTATGTATCGAGCCCTTCAGTACTTCCATCTCACGTTTCACTTTAGAATCCAGAATAAATGCTATGCATTATATTCCACCAGTTACTCCCATAATAAAAGCATGCACACACAAATCATAAACTTCTATCACTGTTACATCTGAAGTGTTTGTGTACACTGACTGCACAAATCAGAAGCTTTTGCTTTGGCAAAATCTTGAAGAAGTGGATCCTGTTGTTATACCTTGCTGCTGGTCCTTCTTCAGTGCAAGCTCTGCATGAGGAAATACCCTCTGTAGGGCTTGTAAGATTCTCGAGAGTGTATTTCCTAGGAGTGGTGCCATAATAGGTGACAGTGCTTGGCCCGGTGATGGCACAGCCCTCCGTGACGCCGGAATGATTTTCTGCATAGCCATCATAAAATCTTCCGCTTTTATTTTAATAGAATTGACGTCGAGTTGCAATTTCTCACTACTGGAGTAGATCTGAGGATAGCGTCGGCGGAGGGCACAGAGAGCAGCCTCAGCACACAAAGATTTTATGTCAGCTCCGCAGTACCCTAAATAAACAAAGAATTAAGTGTTACATCAGTCTCAGGCAAAAACATGAGCCAAAGTCCAGGTTTCCAAGATGCAACATTTAAAGAATTCGCAGTCCGAAAAACAAGTGGGTTAACAGAGAATTTAAGCTATTACTGCACAGCAGGGAAGTTTTGTTCTGTGACTGACTGCCTGGTATCCAAGGCCTGTGAAACAGTTTCCTAATCCCAACTTTGTTCTGGGGCAAGATGCCTCAAACCCATTCAATGTTCTGAGACAACAATGACAACAACAAAAGGGATGCAGATGAAAGCAGCTAATTTTGACTGCTGCGAAGGCACGCCAGCTGCCTCATGGACTGGTTCTGCAGCACAGCACAACAGCTTGGGTACCGCTGGGTACAAGATAAGACTCCTTGGAACTCAGTCACAGCCACTAACACGTTTTGTTTTCAGTCTTACCAACACATTCTGTAGCAAGCTCATCTATAAAGGTGTCCAGCAGCTTAGGAGTCCAGTCACAGGTATGGATCTTGAAAATTTCTTTTCTAGCCTGGAAACAAAAAATTGTTGCGTTTCATTTTGTCCTATGTTTTTGTAAAAACAGCAACAACAAAAGAAACAACACTCCCTCAAAAGCTTCATAATACTACAAACAGTTTGCTTGTCTGCTAAACGTTTGGTGCAGTTGACACGATAGAGGGAAAGGATGCCATCCACAGGGACCTGGACAGGCTTATGGCCTGGCTTATGGGCTATGGGCTATCAGGCTTATGGGCTATGGCTATCAGGCTTATGGGCCCATGCCAACCTCATGAAGTTCAACAAGGCCAAGCACAGGGCCCTGCACCTGGGTTGGGGCAGTCCCAAGTACAAATACAGGCTGGGTGGAGAACGGCTTGAGAGCAGAGAAGGATTTGGGAGTGTTTGTTGATGAAAGACTCAACGTGAGCTCGCAATGCACACTTGCAGCCCAGAAGGCCATTTGTATACTGGCATGCATTGAAAGAAGTGCAACCAGCAGGTTGAGAGGGGTGACTCTGCCCCTCTGCTCTGCTTTTGTGAGACCCCACCTGGAGTATTGTGTCCACTTCTGGGGCACCAACACAAGAAGGACATTGAGCTGCTGGAGCAAGTCCAGAGGGCCACAAAGACGATCAGAGGGCTAAAGCATCTCCTCTATGAGGACAGGCTGGGAGAACTGAGGCTTTTCAGCATAGAGAAGTCTCCAGGGAGATCTTATAGTACCTGAAGAAGGTCTACAGGAAAGCTGGGGAGGGACTTTTTATAGGGAGAAGGAGTGACATGACAAGGGGAAATGGGTTTAATCTGGTAGAGCATAGATTTAGACTAGATAGTAGGAAGAAATTCTTCACTGTGAGGGTGGTGAGACACTGGAACAGGTTGCCCAGTGAGGTTGTGGATGCTCCCTCCCTGGAGATGTTTAATGCCAGGCTGGATGGGGTTTTGAGCAGCCTGGTTTAGAGGGAGGTGTCCCTGCCTATAGCAAGGGGATTGCAAGTAGATGATCTTTAGATCACTCCCAACCCAAACCATTCTATAGTTAATTTAATATGTTCATTTTCAAGCAGGAAATCTAATAATTCTAAGTTTATTTATCTTTTTTTCTGAGAACCTGCAGTTAAAGAAAGGGCAATTCTAGTTTACGTAAAAGTTTCCAAAATACGTGACCTAATGATCTTCAGCAAAAAAGCATAGAAAACTATCATGAAAAGCATTTTTTTATTTTCCCCCTCCAAGAAATTTCTCTTAAATTTGGAAAATTTCATGGTGACAGTCCCATCAGTTCACTGCACTTGCTTTTCTGTCAGTTCATTCAAGTAAAGTAATTCTAGTACCACTCTTCAAGCTGCTGCAATTTCTGTAAAGAAAATAACTATGACTCAAACTAGACACCAGTTGTAACCTTGGTTAATCACTGCCACTGAACTAGAAGCTTCCCAAGCCCTTCCCCTCTGCAGCGCACTTCACATCTTCACCCAAGCCTCTGTCAATATGAAGCAGTAAGAATGTCAGCTATTACAGGTAACTCCCAATTAGAACAATCTAATGAAGTACGCCTCCATCCACTCATAAGTGAATTACTGAGACCAAGAGCAGAATTTCAAGGTGAAAATGCCCAAGCAGATTAAGTAATTAAGCAAACAAAACAACTTTGGGAAAGCTCCGAATACATTCCATCACCAGTCATGATACAAGTTTTTATGCAAGCAAAAAGTAATCATTGAGGATGTACACCACTTCCTTCACCTTCAAGATGAGAACAATAGTTTAAAGGCAATTTGCATTTTCATTCCTTCTTAAAACATGCCAGTGACAAGCAACATCCTGTTTTTCTTGACTAGTCACAGTGAAACCAAAAATAATGTAGAGTGAACTACTTGCTGAAGTTGTCATCATATATATTCAGCAGCAGATTTGCTCCGCACAGTATGGAAGTGTCTCCAGATATCAGCCTTTCATCCAATCTGCACAACTTTTTGCTATGAAATCCGACTTTGTCACATTAGCATTAAGGTTGTATTTACTTTCTGACCTCTTTATTTGGGAGGCCAAAGAAGAATTCGCGGTCAAAGCGTCCAGGTCTTCGTAACGCTGGATCGATGGAATCCAGTCGGTTGGTCGCACCGATGACAACCACCTCCCCTCTGCTGTCTAACCCATCCATGAGTGCCAGAAGCGTTGATACGATGGAGCTGATAGAAAAAATACAGTTTTTATTCACCGGTTCAGTAAGTTTTGATACAATCCACATGACTTAGTGTTGTGTTCAGCTTTGAGCACCTCAATACAGAAAGGACACTGAGCTTGCTGAAACAGGTCTAAAGAAAGCCAACTAGGCTTGTGAAGGGCTTGGAGAACATGGCCTGTGAGAAGCTAGTTAAAGAAACTGGGGCCATTTAGCTTGGGGAAGAGGAGGTTGAGTGGAGACCTTATGGCTCTTCTCAAATATCCGAAAGGTGATTGCAGTGAGTGGGGTTGGTCTCTTCTCACTGGTGGCAGGTGGCAGGATGAGGGGAAATGGCCTCAAGTTGCACCAGGGGAGGTTTAGGTTGGATATCTTTACTGAAAGGGTTGTAAAGCGCTGGAATAGGCTCCCTAGGGAGGTGCTGAGTCTCCATCCCTGAACGTGTTTAAAAACCATTTGAATGTGGTGCTCAGGGACTTGATTTTGCAATGGGTTGTTAGTTAGGGTAGTATAATTAGGTTGTGTTTGGACTTTATGATCTCGAAGGTCTTCTCCCACCTGAGCAATTCTTTGATTCTATTACTTTCTCCAGTGAGTACTCAAAAAAGGACACAATTCTGTTGATGCTCATCAGTGACTCATTTTAAGACAGACAAAAATAGGTAAGGTAACACAGACCTTGTGCTAGTATTGAGCAAGTGAACTGTTTTCAACTGTTGTCTCAAATAATCTCAAGTTTAGGAGCACCGAGCTACAAGTTTTCAGGATAAATTAATGAGGAATACAAAGTGGTCAGCATCGCCCCTCCCACTCCCAGCAGATTCTACGTAGACATAGAAAACATAATACCTATGAATCTGGTCTTGTTTACTGGACCGGACAGGAGCAAGACCATCAATCTCATCGAGGAAAATAATTGAAGGCCTCATGCGATATGCCTAGAGTGAAAATCAGTAATACTGTAAGTGTAAAACAGCACTGTTTCAAGAGAAAACACATGAAAGACATTATGGTTGGCATGTCACTGGAACTAGATTTTTTTTAGAGTAACATCAGGGATCTCTACTTGTTGACTTGGAGTATCTGACATAAGTAACAGAAAGCATCAGTCTACATCAACCTACCGTGACCAGGTGACAGGAAACAAATCATTCCAGTAGTTGTTACAGCTATTTGGCAGCCATAAAGAACAAGCAGAACTTAATTCAATTACAGGTTGTGGAAGCAGGCCTCCTCTATGAATTTAAAGAACCCTGCTTTCAGACAGCATCTGTTTCCCTCTGATCTAAAGCCATCATCTCTTGCCTCTTGCAGCCTTCTCTGCGGCTGTTCTGGTGGGAGGAAATTTTTTTGCTTTGAAAGCTTTTCTCATTTTGATCTTTTCCCATTTCAAGTCTCTGATCCAAATTATGGAGGCAATGAAAAAGCAAACGCTGACATTCCTATTTCAGTGGGGGAAAAAGCCACCAACAACCCTAACGAAGTACCCAAAAGAGGATGCTCTTAATAATGTTAATCACAGAAAATCACAGTTTCAACTGGGAATGGAATATACTGCATATTTCAATCTTACCTGATCAAATAATAAATGAAGTTGCCTTTCAGACTCTCCGACCCATTTACTGAGGCAGTCTGCACCTTTCCTCATAAAAAAAGCCACTCTCCTGTTCCCCTGGCTGCACTCATTCGCAAGGGCACGTGCAACCAGGGTCTTTCCAGTTCCTGGTGGACCATAGAACAGACATCCTCTGCAATAAAAAACGATTCAGATAGGAAAAAAAAAAACATTGTGAAGAGAAGCTATTACACCCATCATCCCTAGAACAAACAACTCCTCTTACCTAACCAAAACATTTCATGTACAAGACAACACAAATAGTTAAAGTTGGGTTAAGGTCCTGGCAGGACCTGAAGTTTTGTGCTCCGACAAAATTTCCCAAGGCAACAAAATAAATGAATAATGCAGATACCTCAGATGTACACCTGCAGAAGAGCATGTACTGCCCCAAAAGGACCTTTCCAAAAATGCTAGCAGACAAACAGGGTATTAGAGCAAACTGGGCTCAAACAAGCAACTTCTGCCCAGAAGGAGTTAACAGATGAATCACCAGGTTGCTCTTTAGCAATACACTCCACGCTCTCGCTTTCACACAAGCATGGATTTGATATCAAGACTTGTTAGTAAAGCACTTAATTCTCTCTTAAAAGACTTTAAGTTACAGGATTTGGCCTCATAGACCATCTTCTGCTGGAGAAAAACGAGGAAGTCTAATGCTGAACAGAAAATTTAAGAAAATAAACAGAAAAGGGTATTCTGCATTTTCAGATAAACATAACCATCAGCTAAGAAAGCACTAAATATGCTGCTGTTTGAATAAGAATTTCAGTGAATAAAGAAGTAAGGCTCTGGAAGG